GATGTCATACAGGTGGACTACCTTTTGTTTGCTAATTAAGTGGCAGGACTCTTGGTATTAATGATGTAATTATACGTTGGCATCTGATGTTTAATCCAAAAGGTCTTTGGTTCCCATTTGCTTTGTGTTCTATCATTTTTATTTGTAGTTTTACATTATTCCAACATTACACAAGAATGGTTAAACATGCATTTCCACCAACTCCACATTGCTTACAAAAACACAATAAACCAACATGATGCTACTGTTAAATCTAACCAACAATACAACACATTCTATGTCATTAAAACATGCTTCTTCATTCACCCATGAACTACATTTGTACATTACATTCCAGTTCCACTTTCTTTATTCCTTTACTTATAATACATCTTTATCTGGTAATTGCAATAGATCCTTATACCCTAAATTCCCAACCACCCACATAGCAAATCCTGCTAACACAAAACCGTAGGTGATTGCAAGAGTTGCAGCAAGCTTTCTTTCCCTTGATGCATGTCATTGCACCATAATTTCCAATCTTCGAACCTTTATCTCCAATTTTGTTGCTTTGCACTCATACTTTTCTGCAGACTCTTTAGCATTTTTGAGATATTTCTCTATTTGATTGATTCGCCGAAACAACCCAGGTATAATCTCCACTGAACGTGGACAATTTCTTCATCTATCCATTTCCAGTAGTTGCATCCCTGACCCAAATTCACAACAAACAATAATTATTGACTGGAATTACTAACAACTCAAATAAATTACTCCTTTCCATTACCTGAGCAAGCGGCCATTCTGCATATCTTCGGCTTGGATTCCATGGTATCCACGACGTTTTCACAATGGTACTCAATCCACAGCCACACATTGGAGGTATTGGATTTGATCTTGGCATCTTCCACCTCGTTGTTTCTGATGTTATAGGTGCAAGAAAACCCCTAATTTTTCTTTCTTTTGCAAAAGAAGAAGATGAAGTAGGTGATAAAAGGATGCTTATATCGTTTTAGTTGATGGCCCTGATGCTTCAAACATGAACGGACAACAATGCCCTTTAAATCCGACTAGATTTATGTCTAAAGTCATCAGAAATCCTTAAAGTATGCATTTTTAATTGTTCAAGGGCCAATCGGAAGTAAAAATTAGATGAGGAGCCAAAAGTTGATAGCAATAATAATTGAAGGGCTCCCCAAATTTTTTTTATCCTTATATTTTACACTACTAATTATATTGCTATTAAATACAATTTTAACTTAAAAATCTATATATTAGAATGAAACAAGCATTAAAATTGAAGAATTTTGATATTGGACCTCATTTATTTTTAAATAAAAATATCAAAATTTCACGTAAATAGACAAATAATATACTTGAATCTTTTGAGGTTTAGAAGGCCAATGGCAAACTTCTACATAAAGGAGAGTTCTCCCACAATCAGTCTTTTAAAGAATTGAGAAGGGAAAATAGTATATTCCATTCTAACATCTAAATATTGATTATATCAAACAATGGAAGCTAAGTAAGCATTCCATCTTGACTTGTCTATCAAATTGGAATAATAAATTTCTCCCTACCATTCTAGGTGAAAACATATTTTGGGTAGAAAAATCTTTCCCTTCTAGGCATTTTCATGTATCAAACGAGGGATTAGAGTATTAACAACTTTCAATTAATAGGTAAAATTGTTAATTGTGCTATCTGAGTCAAGTTCCAATAGGCCTAAGCATTAACAGGACGTGGGATAGTAACAATTGTTAGATCAAATATCTCTAAACGATGTAATATTTTTTGAACGTTTTGTAACTCTAAGTGAACCAATTGTACATTCTTACAATAGAGGTTTGATATTCTGTTACTATTCATGTGAGTTCTATGCATAATAATTGCATCCGCATTTTATAAGTATTTTATGTAGAGTTACATGCTATTCAAAAAATGTTACACCGTTCAAAAAGATTATCATTGACAATCGTCCATACCTATTGATTGTATTACAATGCCTTATATTCTACTTTTTTTTTAAAAAAAGCCTTATATTCTAAACTGGGCCTAATTTATTTGGGCCTAAAATAACAAGGCCCAAACGCTGTCCCCTCAATTTAGTGGCATTTTGGCTACAAAACCAGGCGGTCGCAATTCGCAGAAAAGGAAAAATGCACCTCTTTATTTGTTAACTCTTTAAAAGTGATACTACATTTTAGGCTTAATTATGAAATGCCCTGTATATTTATAGGTGAATTGTAAATCAATATCTATACTCACAAAGGATGCAAATTTCGCTCTAAAAACTAACACCAGTTGTACAACTTAACGGTTTCACCAAAATATTTTTATTATGGGAAAAAAATTACCCCTGTAATTCCTACCACCCAATTGCTTCATTTGATATAACTATTGCTTTTCTCTATAATACTAAAACTGCTCCACGTACAATATCTATGAATTTCGACTTAAATCTTTGTTCTAGTTTTAATTTGACCATATTCGATGGATAAACTCATGCCAGAGATGTCGAAGGTTGGATGTCCATGAGGTTTAGTATGCTTTTCTTTGTTTGGCCTAGGTAACAATAAACATGCACAGGGAAATAACAGTAGAAATACTATTTTAGATTCAAACAAGTTCTAAGCAATCAACTCCAAGGACTTAGATATATTTTTCCTTTTTTCTATCTTATATTACGCCAACTGAAAAAAGATTCCGTAAAAAAGAAGGAACGAAATTAAATAGAAACTAAACTAGTTTACTTTGATTAAAGAGCAAGTTGCAATTTTTAAGAGCCCAAGACTTTTGCCGTCATAAAGGATTGAAACATTTATTGTAGACGAAACCAAAAAAATTATTTTGAGGGGCAAACTTTAAACTACTTCAACCTTAAGTATACTACATAATCGATTTTCAAATTTTGTGGGGCCAAATTGTAATTTACAAACGCCATTTTCAAAGATATCAAAATTTTAAGATGAAATTTCATAAAACTTTGTGTGTTTGTGTGTGGTGTTGGGGGGGCCGCGGGAGGCGCTTCTAGCCCCCTCTAGTCGTCCATGCTGTTTTGTCCCAATCTTCAGTGCCAAAATGTTTTGTTTCATATCTGAGGGACCAAAAAAAAAACAAATAAGCATGCGTGGGATTACATGTGCAATTTTCTCTAATTTTATCTTGCTAAATAGTACTAACGATTAGTTAATCCAGTTATTGCATGGCGTAAAAACTAGGTCATACCTCACTTATTAGAACAGAATAACCATACAAAGTAATCTGACAAAGACATTAATTTCAAACTATAATCTGATGAATGTACCTGGTCGATATTTATTACATTAAGAAAGTGATCCTGGTGAAGGTAGCATTTTTATTGATTTCCTTCAAACCTTCATGCCTAGTTGACCATAGATGTCATTTTATAATTAATTTTTGGATTAATCTGACAAAGCATTTTTTTGGATTAATTTTTGACCATAATAGTATACACCGATAGTGTATATAATTTTATCTTTGGATGCTTGTCACTTAATTTGAATTTAAATTTGACTATCATTTTGTTGCATATGTGACATGTATCCAATGATAATAATATATATATTATCAGTATATATAAAAAGATAAACTCGAAATTTTTTTGCACTCTAACTTTCTATTATCCTAATAGTGAAGCCTGCAAAAGTACCATTCAACATGAATTCCAAAATAGGGGTGAAGTTAGAATTGAACTATTTGTATTACTATTTTTTGGAGTTTTGTGAAAAAAAGGTACTATAACGACTTAATGTACATGAGATAAAAAGATAATTAAAAAATGTGTTCTTGGAAAATGAATATTTTTTTATTGGCAAAACTACAATCCAAACATAATTATTTCGTGGGGGCAAAATTATTTGCTTTCAGGACATTCTATGTTCTCTCACGTCGCTCTTCCATATCTTTTTTGGTGCTTCAATTCCTGCAGGTAACTTTATGTTTAGGTTCAACTAAATAATAAAAAGCATTTACATACAAGAAAAGTTGTTATATAAACTGTAAAAAAAAATAATAATAAAGGATGGAAAACTTTCATGTTGAACTTTGAAAGAATCGCTTTGAAATTTGACATATTGCATTTCCTATGAATATTTCTCTGACTTTATAAAAGCTTATTTGAAAGTGGTAACTGCCAACACAGAAACTTAGAACTTTTGTTCATATGGCGCTGTTTTTATTTACAATAAAGGGCTAAAACAATGGATTCCTAGCTAGATTATTGTCAATATTTTTCTAAATTAGTTTTTCTATCAATCAATCATAATTACCATTAGAAATATGGTTTGGCTGATGAATGCCATTGGGTACTCAACAAGAGGTGGCTCAAATGTTTGTTTTTTTTGGAAAAGTATGATTGATTTGGAAAAATATCAAAATTCAAGGGTGTAATAAATGTGAATGTGTGCATTTACATGGTAACTTAGGTATGATTTAAATATTTTATTGAAAGCACCGTTAGAAAAATCCTTTGAAATATTGGTAGGAGCAATATATTTTTTGCTCACTGATACTTGCTTTTGCTCGTCAATGGGGCAAATATAATTGTAATTAGCACTTTTTTTAAACTTCTTTGCAATTATTGCACGTACATTGGTACAAGGACAAGGAGTTGGGCATGGTGAGATGAGTGGAGCAGATGCCCCCACTTTGTCTCCACCGATCTACTGGAACTATATTAGCCGGTTTTTCAATGATTTCGAACTTCAACTCAGCATTTTATTATTAATTGAGGTATGGACAGGAAAGAAGTCGCCAGCAACAGCCAAAACATGCAGTCGCCAGCATTTCAACTCAGCATTTTGATATTAATTGAGGAATGGACAGGAAAGATGTCGCCAGCAACAGCCAAAACATGCTTCAAAAACTTTTGGAAAAAAGAAAAAGAAGGACAAAGAAAAAAGGTTCTGCAATTTGTTTTTAAGCATATGAGGCTCCTATGACAACAGAATCAAAAAACTTGGCGGATTGGCAAGCTTCAATCTTGGTAGGAGAAACAAAGAAGCTGGAGAGCAAGATAGGAAGAAAAATTAAGATGGGAGCTATAAAGGAGACATTCTTCATATCACATGGATCACCAATGATATCTTTGGATGATTCATTTCCTGCAAGACATTTCTTGCTGGTTTTCAAAGAAAGGGTGTTCAGTCAGAGACCTAAAGGCATTCTGATAATTTCTGCCCATTGGGAAACCTCAGAACCAGCTGTGAATTTGATCCCTGGCCGTCAAGATACTATACATGACCTCATCTCTAACTTACCCAGGGCATTGTACCAGGTACCCTCATGTAATCATCATCCTATTGCTAAATTTCTTTCGTTATCTCTGCCTTAGTTTCCTGCATATTAACGCTCACACATGCACTGATTAAGTATACAATGTTCATGTGGTGTATACGCCATTAAAGTCATATAGTATGCGCATGTCCATGTATAAGTTGGTGTAAATTGGAATTACAAGTAGATAATGTTGGATCCTTAATCCAACATTAGACTTATATGTGAATAATTATGTATTGTAAACTGTCAATTAAGGTTGAACCCAATTAAAGTGATCAAATATAGTTTGGGTTTAATGTATCTAATAGGATGTGGGTCTTTAATGTGTAGAGACTTTAGGACTCCTATTTCTATGATGGGTTGAAATAGGGTTCTAAAAGGTAACAAAATGTTACCTATAAATAGGGTTATGGTTCCCAAGTCACAGATATCGTTTAGTTGTCGTATTTTCTAATATCACAAAATAACTCTTCCCTGATATCCCATCGTCAGGAAAGATACCAGAGACAAACTAAAGGCCTCTCTTAAAGGATCGGTGAATACCTGTTGACCTGGAAGGCCACCCCAAAATTTCTAAGGATTCAAGTGTCAAATCTATCAATATGGATTCAGGTACGCTTCCGCTATTTTATCGTTTATTTATTTCTTAATAATCGTCATATAGATCTTGGGTTCAATAAGTGATGGTTTTCACCAATGATTAAATTTAGATAACCACCCTAACAAGTGGTATCAGAATCCATATGGTTGATTATTAGGAAATATTTTTGTTTTGGTAATTCATAGTTTTTTTTTGTTGTACGGCTAAGTGTTTCGGATTTCATGTTCTGGCTTTGCCGTTTACTTTTTGGAAGGCTTGGTTGCTGATGGCACGAATTGATGTGATAAATAATTGCCGTTATAATTGCATGCCACACGGATTCATCCATAATGTCACCTTTTATGCTGTGGTCCAAATTGCATTGTATGATTGTTAAATTCAGTCAACTTTTCAATTCAATGGGCTCCACGGATTGTTAGAATTGCAAGCACTTTTGTTTTGCTACATGCCCAATGATTCCAGATTACTTGTTTGCTTATGTCATTCACATGCCTTGTACTTTTGATTTTGGATATACATTATTGTGGTCAAAAGCTCAACTTTAAATGGCCAAAAGTTTCTCATGTATATTATTGGCATAAAGAGGCACAAACAATATACTTGGGACCCGTATATTTATATGCTTACATCATCATTACAATTTTCAATACACCTTTTTATCTTCCCAATTATCTTTTTATCTCACATACATCACATCACAAAAAGTACTACAGTAAAAATATCTCAAATAACTTACAGTCCAAACACACTCATGGTTTATGTCTAAAATTTTGGGTACATAACTTGCCATGTTTTGATTCAACCGTTATTAGTATTTTATTTTGGCTTGCTTCCTTGTATAAGAGAATTTGCATATATTTATATTAAGGATATTAGGGTTTTTCTAATTTAAGTGAACCCTAATAAAGTTAATAAGATATTTAGGGGGCGTTTGGTAAGAGGGTATCGGATTTGGGGAATGGAATGAACCCCATAAATGGTGTTTGGTTCATTGGAATGGGAATTGAAATCTTGGAATGATTTCTAAAAATTTGGTGTTTCTCCATTCCCAAGTATTTTGGTGGGTTTTGTCCGATTCCCAAGTTTGATTCCAAGAAACAAATCCAATTACATATTATAATTATACAATGATATAATTAATATTTATATATATTATATTTATTATATATTATAATATATACATATATATAATATATTATAATTATAATATTAGTACATTATATAAATATATATTATAATTATTTAGTTAAATATAATTATATTCATATAATATATATTATAAATTTATTAATATTATATAATAATATATTTATAATGTATATGTATATTTATAAATGCATATTATATGTGCATATGATTATAATATACACATGTATATAATATTAATAAATTATACATTTATATTTATATTTATATTTATTATTTTAAATACAATAATATCTAATAATTACTATATCTAATATTAATATGCATTATACTTATATAAAATATGAGTAAAATTAATATTTATATATTATATAATTATAATTATGTATTTATTTTATAGCGTTTGTATAATTATAATTAATTATATATATAATATTTAATTTAATTAGTTACAAACTTATAATAATGATGTTATTGTATTATATAATTATATATTATAATTATTTAGTTAAATATAATTATACTTATATAATATATATTATAAATTTATTAATATTATATAATATTATATTTATAATATATATGTATATTTATAAATGTATATTACATGTGCATATAATTATAATATATACATGTATGTAATATTAATAAGTTATATAATTATAATAATTATTATTTTAAATATAATAATATATAATAATAACTATATTTAATATGTAATATATATTATATTTATATAAAATATTCTTATAATTAATATTTGTATATATTATATAATTATATATTTATATATTTATATTATAACATTTGTATATTTATATTTAATTATATATATAATATTTAATTTAATTAGTTACAAACTTATAATAATAATATTATTATTTATATGTATTATATAATGTATATTAATTTATGTAATATAATTAATATTATCCATTATACTAATAATTATACATGTTTACTAATAGAAATTATTAATTAGTTAGACTAAATTTACTAATACATTTATACTCATATATTTAATTAGTGAAGATTTCTTATATCCCATTTACAAAGAGCCAATAATTATCATTTACGATGGGATTTATAATATATTTATTATATTCCATTCCGAAAGAGTCGACGAACCAAACATCAACTATAGTAATGATACACATTCCAGGTACTTGAATCAAACAAATGTATTGGAATGAATGACCTCATTCCAAACCCAAGATATCCGATTCCGAATCCGAATCCAATACCGATGTGCGAACCAAACGCCACCTTAAGCCTACAAAGTCCATATATTAGGCCCACTGAATATAAATTTTTACAAAACAATTATGGACTTCAAGAAAATTTGGGCTTGAATTATAAATTGGGTCAAATTATGGATATGGACCTTTGGTCCAATAAGTCTTGATCCAATTTGATTGGATTGACCACGTTTTGATCAGAGTTGACCAAAATTGATTTTGATCAAAATTTTGGTTTAATTTGTATAGTTTTAAATTTGAATATTGGTATGATTATATATATTTTAGAATAAATTAATTAAAATAATATGTTACCAAAGTGGCCTCTATTATGGAAATTAATTTATTTTAAAATATAATTAGTTGAGTACCTGTAAATTTATGAATATTCATCGACCCAAAGGAAGGTTAAAATTTAATAAAATTACATGTGTACTTGTGGTAATAAATACGAGATAATTATTTCGATTTTACATGTGATTTATAAATTGGTTCAAAGGAAAATTTATTTTTGACATGTTATTATTATCAGTATTTATTATTGCATCAAGATATCATTTAGAAGTTAATATTTTGGTCCAAAGACAAAATATTAATGGAATAACGGTATCTTGAGATGGGACTACCATTATTTGAATTTATTATTGTTTAGATTTGTGTGAGCTTGTTTTAATTATATTATATTTTCTGTTCAGTTGCAAATGATCTTACAAATATTACTACCAACATCAATAATATTTCTATGTTGAATGGCACAAATTTCAAGTCTTGGAAAAAAAATCTCTTGATAGTACTTGAAGTAATGGATCTCGACCTTGCGTTAAGGACTGATTCTCTCCTACCTCTTACAGATCAGAATACCTCTGATGAAAAGAGAAATAATGAGAGGTGGGAGAGATCAAATCGCTTATGTTTGATGATCATTAAAAAGGCCGTTCCAAAAGCATTCAGGGGAACAATGTCAGAAACGACTGTAACCGCTAAAGAGTTCTTTCAGAACATTGAAAAAAGATTTGTCAAGAACGAAAAGGTTGAAATTAGTACGCTCTTGACACGCCTAATTTCAATAAAATATAGTGGTAAAGGCAATATCAGAGAGTACATCATGGAGATGTCTCATCTTGCTTCGAAATTAAATGCACTTAAGTTGAAACTCTCTGAAGAGTTACTAGTGCATTTGATTTTGATATTTCTTCCTCCACAGTTTAGCCAGTTTAAAGTGAGTTATAACTGTCAAAAGGAGACTTGGTCTCTAAATGAACTCATCTCACACTGTGTAGAGGAAGAGAAAAGGTTGAAACAAGAGCAGACAGAAAGTGCTCATCTGGTGTCAACCACTAATAATAAAAACAAGGGACTTAAGAGAAAAAAAGGAAAAAGGGGCTGCAGGTACAGCGCCACAAAAGAAACAACAAAAGAAATCAGATGATCAGGGAAAAAATAGTTGTTTCTTCTGTGGAGTTGAAGGGTATCAAAAAAAGCATTGCACCAACTATCACGCTTGGCATGCTAAGAAATGTATGTTTTTTAATTTGGTTTGTTCTGAGATTAATTTAACTTCGGTACCTAGACATACATGGTGGTTAGATTTTGGTGCAACAACTCACATCAGTGTGTCTATGCAGGGTTACCTGAATTGCCGAAAACCTAATGATAATTAAAGATATATCTACGTGGGCGATAGCAAAATAGTTCAAGTTAAGACAATTGGAGTTTTTAAATTATTGTTAAAAATCAAATTTTATTTAGATCTCTATGAGACATTTGTTGTGCCATCTTTTAGACGAAATTTAATTTCTATTTCTGCTTTGAACAAATTTGGTTTTTTTTGTTCATTTGAAAATGAAAAATTTGAATTGTTTCATGATTTAAAATTGGTTGGTTCTGGTTCTTTAAAGCATTACGATAATCTATATTTAATTGATACGATTGTCTCATTTAATGAATCTCTACATTTGAGTACTAGAGGAGTAAAGAGAAAATTAACCAATGAGAATTCAGCCGCATTATGGCACAAGAGATTGGGACATATCTCCAAGTGGAGAATGAAAAGACTTGTGTCAAATGAAATTCTCAACCCCTTAAACTTTACAGATTTTGATGATTGCATTAACGGTATAAAGGGGAAACAAACCAATCAAAGGAGATTTGAAACCAATAGGTCTTCAGACGTCTTAGAACTTATACATACGGATATTTGTGGGCCATTTTTTACATCTGTTTGGAATGGTCAACAATATTTTATAACGTTCATAAACGATTTTTCAAGATATGGCTACATATATCTCATTTCTGAAAAGTCACAGTCACTAGATGTATTCAAAAATTTTAAGGCTGAAATTAAGAATCAACTCAATAAAAGAATTAAAAGCGTTAGATCTAACCGTTGTGGTGAGTACTATGATAAATATGACGGTTCAGGTGAACAACGTCCAGAACCATTTGCTAAATATCTAGAAGAATGCGGTATCGTCCCACAGTACACTATGCCGGATTCACCCACTATGAATTGTGTAACTGAAAGACGAAATAGAAAGTTTAAAGACATGGTAAGAAGTATGATATGTCATTCTACCTTACTAGAGCTACACTGGGGTGAAGCACTTAAGACAGCAGCATGT